TATTAATAAAGGTTGAAATTAAATATTTTTTTGTTTCAAAGTTGAAATCAAGTCATATTCACTGCCAAGTCAGTTAAAAAATTTTCACATTATTGTTATTTCTTACTTTATTCAATGTTTTTGGTCAAATTCCAAATTTTCTCTCAAACCGTATATTTTTTTTTATTATAGATAGTATTTATTTACCTCATGATGTGCTGCAAAACCTAATTAATCACGAATTTCTAGTTTTATGTACTCTTGTCTCCGATTGTACCTCCCAAACATCCTTAAGGAGTCTGACAACTGTTTTATCTACCTACGAATATATTCTTCATTTTCGAGTAGTCGCAAAACATTTCAATTTAATGAAACAATTGTTATTTTTTTATGGTCTAACACCTTGTTTTTGATTTTAGATGTAAAATAACTACACTGTAAACTGGAAAAAAAATCGTCTGACAAAAATGTTGCTCCATTGCGTTTCACAAGGAGCTAATTTTATCTAGCCCTAATGTCACCTAAAATAAGAAAAATCCCCCCCCCCCCCGTGACATACACAGATACAGGAAAATTGTACATACGTTCATTTTGAGAAAAAAACTTTTGAAACCTTTTTTATTAGGTACACACACTTCGTATTCCTACAATATCTAAATTCACCGACACAAAACACACACATTCAATGTTTTCATCTTTTATAGAATTTCAAAACCGAAATTAAACTTAGCGTATCCACTTACAAAATGAGTTTAACTTGTTTACTTACCGCACCACTTCCACCAGCAACGGTTTCATAGAAGCCCCATGTACCGTCGCCGAATGTAATGTTATTCATACAACCCTGAGATGCAGCGCAAACCATAAACGCTTTCAAAACAACGTCGACAATCCTCTGGGATGTTAGAACATTACCGCCAACAACCGCTGCATTTTCACTTGGATCCAGTATCGAACCTCTCGGTATAATCACCTTAACTGGCGTCAGACAACCCTACCACGATGAAACCCACATATATTACGTACAATCATTACATTTTGTTGCCTTGTTCAACGTAAAATGCAAAGCAATTTTAAGAACAGAAACTTTGGAAAGTTGGTTACTTTAGAAAAAGAAAGCACTTAAGACAATAAATTTTTAAACAGAAACAAAGGTAACTTCAGCTGCTCCAATTTTTGTAACTCAAATTAAAAATTCACCTGTATATACAAAATATTTACAAAAAAAAAGGCTTTCCATCGTCTATGTATTTGTGCAGAATAAATAGAATGGAATAGTTCCGATAAAAATTTTAGAGGGTGCTGAGTGCATCCAGGGTAAAAGGACTTCTCCAAAGATGATATTATCCCACTCTGCATCATTAGATTTTTACCAATGATTTGGGCATGAGACGGGTCGCCGCGAAATTCTTACCAAAATTGCTCAATTTCGACCAAAAACAGTATCGCATTAACATCGCTAAGGAGCTGTTGGGCGCTATCCGTGACGACATAAATTTGCTCCAGAGGGTCATAACTGGTGACGAATCATGAGTTTATGGTTATGACATAGAAACGAAAGCTCAAGCATCCCAATGGAAGCTGCCGCACGAGTCAAGACCGAAAAAAGCGCGCCGAGTTAGGTCGAATGTGAAGGTTTTGCTTACAGTTTTCTGCGATTACAGCGGCGTGGTGCATCATGAGTTCTTGCCATAGGGTAGAACGGTCAATAAGGAATATTACCTGCAAGTTATGCGTAATTTGCGCGAAGCAATCCGCCAGAAACGCCCGGATTTGTAGAAGGACAAAAATTGGCTTTTGCACCATCGTTGCTTGTGCGCGAATTTTTGGCCAAAAACAACACACTAATAATGCCCCAGCCACCGTATTCTCTAGATCTGCCCCCCTGTGACTTTTTCTTGTTCCCGAAACTGACGAGGCCCGGGATAGGACGACGCTACGCTACAATTGAGGAGGAGGAGCTGAACAAGATCACAAAAAATGATTTTTTGAAGTGCTTCGAGGATTGGAAAAAAACGTTAGCACAAGTGTATAATATCTGGGGGGGGGGGTTACATTGAAAGGGACAAAATAGATATTCATGAACCTCGCAGTTATACCTAACAGTACACTTATTCTGTCTTGAGAGTTTATTATATCATTATTAGTCTTAATCCTGATTTTATTGTTACTCGTTTTAGGGGATTGTTTGATAACCAAGGTAGCTATTAATTGAATTAAAGATAATTAGCTATCCCTCATAACATTTAAGAAAGAAACTGAATATCGAAAATATATTTTTGTTATTTGAGCTTAAACTACCGTTTACATCTTGTAATTTGCTATTTTTTTTAGAATTCCTTCTAACTGTATACGTAACAATTTCATTGTATGACATTATATTTTGCACAGACAGCGACGACAGCCTTCGTTTCGTTTTTCGCAATCGTGAAATCGTAATCGCCACCTTTTCCGTCGTTTTTTTCTAATACCAGATTCGCAAGTACAAGTCTGACTATCTTTCATTCTCAAGCGACTTCTACTTCTAGTTCTTGAACGTACGGTACTGGTACTCGAAGTTGTGATTGCTTTGTGTCTTTTGTTATATACACATTTCTTTTTCCGTTTCATTTTTGGCGCCGTTTTAGCCATATCTCTGTATTTCTTCTTTTGGTCGTCGGTGAGCTTACACCAAACTTTAGCCCCTTTGACAGCGCTCTGAGCGGCATTAAGATTTTTATTATCGGCCCTGAAGTCGATAAGGAAATTGAAGAATGGGTTTCTAGTTATCTTTCCCTTTTTCTCACTTGAGCCTACACATTTACTTGAAGAAATGACATTCCCTTTCTTCTCTTCCAACAGATCTGCATGATACTTCGGCTGATATGGAAACTGGTTAGCGATACAATTCCTGCAATGACGCCCGTAATAAAGGGGATCATCGAAAAAAGTTTGGGTTCCTATACCGTCTAATTTGAAACCACAGTTATAACAACAACTCATCCTATTCATCTCAATAACATACACAAACACAAAGGTCTTTTAACGTGAGATAAAAAATTACTTGTACAATTTTGAAACATTTATGACAAATGACATTTAATTTTGGTTAGACATGGGTGGTTATTTTAATACAACATTCAAAACTTCGCACATAATATTTTTTAACTGATACTAGTTTTGGTCTTACCATTTAAGTAACTTCCAAAGAAACATAAAAATATTTTCGGCATTTCTGTGTCTTTCGTTAGACGCACAGGGCACAACCATTTTAGATATTGTGAAAAACAATTTCAATGTAATCTACTGCAAATTTGGAGAATTGTCCAAATAGTGTTGTCTTTATTTATTTAAGAATTGCTTTCTATTTACTATTACCTCATTTCAGAGTATTTTTGTACCTAGTAGGTTTCTGTCAATTTCATATTAAGTCAGTAAACGACATGTGGAATTAAATTGGAAGTTCAGAAAATAAATACTGTAACACGCTCTATTAGCCTAGCAATATTGATTGTGAGACCAAAAATAAATTCAGGTTTGTTCATTGTGTATGTATGGTGTTCATGTTATATACATATATGTATGTATAGTGGTGTCGAAACTGCCAAATGGAATCGCGATATAGATCTCATTTGATCTCATCAGTACGCCGTAAACAGTTTCCACAAAATACGTACGTATGAGGATAAACGATTACGATCATTGACATTGGTCATTCTGTTTCATGTCGATACCCTAACTATCAAAATAGGGATTCGTCAAATAGTTTAATTATTACAACTTATTTTCTGATAATATTTACTCCAATATTATTGAGACGTGCCACGTCAGCAATGGCGTAACAATAAGGTGACAGAAAGGGCAAAAAATACAACGAACCCCCAGTCTGAGGGGCCCCCGATCCGAGAGGTCGCGTAGACAGGAGGACAAAATTTGGTAAAAAATATTAATTTTGTATTTGATCAGTTTATGTTAGGTATTAACTAAAGAACTTACACGAATTATACAAATAAATTATCAAGATTTGAACACATTCATAAAAAAATATATCGCTCATGCTGCTTGGGGAATCCCCGCTTTCAATTTTTGAAGGACGTCCAGGCGCTACGCTAGAGTCAAAAGTCAGTAACTTTTTACGAAATTCATTCAGGGCTCGAGAAAGCTTGGTGTATATATATTGATATCTTTCTTTACTTCGTGATTGATAATGACAAAACTACAATATGAAGCTTTTTTATCAATGAATTTGTCACACAATACGCCACTGAACGTCAGTGAAAGCTATCATCGACTAGAAAGAAATGTCCCTTTTTAACGGTGGCTATTCAGTTTTTTTTTTACATTAAATGATACGAAATATAAAAAAAAAGAAGAGCGCGCTTTCGGTTTTATCTACAATCGATTATTTCTTTTCGACATTTTACGCAAAGCCAGAATATTATGGTTGCAGAAAATTTCTTACCTGATTCAATGGAATTTCATGCCCCACCATACATCTCAAACAATATATTAAAGCGGACAATGTAATTGCCTTTGGAGCGTTACAGTTTCCCCATACCTCTGGACCCGTTCCTCTAAAAATAAAGTGAAATAATTGAAAAATAAATAACAAGATTTGGTCAATGAAATTTTCTTTCTTCAAACGATTCGCCGTTCTTTGCTGGAGAGCACATTCAAACGGCATGTGAGTGTACTAAATGTTTGAAAGTGGAAAATTCCATTAACCACGTCAGAAAAGTCCGGGAAACGTTCTACAATCAATACACCCTTCCCGTGAAAGCCTATAAGACTAATGTACCAGTGGCGACACGTGCCTTCGAAAATAAAGGAAGAGTTGCAAAAAAAAAACGAGAAAAACTCAACTTTGAATTAGGTACAGTTTGTTCTTGCTTACGTCACCGTTGTCATAGCAACCCGCTCGCGCTGGCAGAGATGCGACAGCTATGCGCCTAACTCTTCACTACTTTGCTTGTGTATTATGTATTTTATATTAGGACCATTATGAGATAATTGCACATACCTTTTTATATGAAATTGATTTATTTATTGTAAAACGAAAAACTAAATAACGAAAATTTTATTTATTTTATGGAAAAAAGTTTTGAATCCCAAAAGCTAATGACGGTTGAAGAGTTTTTCTTCGTTTTTCTTTTCTAACTGATCTTAAGAATTACTTTGAGATTCAAATTTAAGGTCAAATTCATTTTTTGGGTAAAAATCGTCATTTCCATTAATGAGCCTAGCCCTTTACAGGTCCCTACAAAACCTCATGATGTTCATGATTTTTGCAAAAACCTTTCGACCAAAAACTAAGGTCAATGTAAAATGTCAGATTAGTTTTTATTGCATTTAACCATGTGATTAACTTATGGACTTTAATGACGTGTAGGTATTAACGGTACTTATTGGTAGAAAAAAAAGTTAATACATCATCAATTTTATAAAGTATTAAAAACTTTGCCTTTGATGTCCTTTGAAAAGGAATTATCTTATAAATGAAGTGCGTAAGTCCTATACTTGGTTAAATACGGAGTTTTCTTTTAGTTTCTGTGTCTAATATAAAAAATTGAGATGTTCATTCAGAAAAGTTCAACCTGACCCTAAAGTGTGCTAAAAAATTATTCTCGAAGTTACCAGGAATTAGTCATGGGCTAGCAAGAGAAGTTAATTCATTATTTAATTTTTCATAAACAAACGAATTAGGATTAAGGAAAAAGGATTAGGAGAACTTACGTAAAGTCACAAAGGGCAGTTCCTTCAGTTTCATTCAACGAAACTTTAAGTTTTATTAAAGATCCGTCGTCCATCCTGTCATCCGCTTCTAAAACGTTCTTGTTTGTTCTTTTCATCGTATCTCTCGCCACTTCCCGCAACATGTCTCTGACAGCAAGTTCTGCATTTGTTTGAATATGTCCCATGTATGCTTGAACCACATCTAAGCCGTAGAAATCTATAAGTTCGCGCACAAGTTGAATGCCTTTCTGACTTGCTGCGACCTGAGCTCTTAAATCCGAAATGTTGTCTTTTATGTTCCTGCCCCCAGCATTAAGTATAATTTCTGTAACTTTTTCTTCTTGGAATCGACCATGTTCTAACAAGAGGAATGACTTAAATGCTGCTCCTTCTTGATCTAAACTCGTTGAATGTGGAGGCATTGATCCAGGAGTAATGCCACCGATATCAGCATGATGACCTCTGGATGCCACGAAGAAGACTGGTTCTTTTTCCTCCCTAGACAACAATAAATTACCTATTATTTCATTATTGATTAATTAATAGAATTCATTAGTATATTTGCCTATAGAATACTGGAGTAATTACGGTGAAATCGGGTAAATGAGTTCCTCCAGCTTGAGGGTGATTGGTTAGAATAACGTCACCATCATAAAACTGTTTTCTGTGTTTCATTTGAAATTGAACGGCTTCCTGCATAGAACCCAAATGCACTGGTATGTGAGGAGCATTTGAAACTAAACCGCCATCAGGTCCGAAAAGTGCGCATGAAAAATCCAATCGCTCTTTTATATTTGTCGAAATTGAGGTTCTTTGCAGAATTCTGTAACAAATTTTTGGGAAAACTACTTTTGATTTATTTTTTTTCTGCATACCTAGGATTTGTAGATTTAGAAAAAGCTTTTGACGATATTAAATGGGACAAGATGTTAAATATACTTAAATATGTAGGGATGAGTTACAAAGATAGAAGAGTGATACTCAGTTTATATAAAGAGCAACAGGCAGATATAGAGCTAGGGATGCAACGTAGAGAAGTAAATATTAGGAAGGGAGTCAGACAGGGATTCACACTGTCGCCGTTACTTTTCAATCTATAGATCGAAGACGCGATCAACATCACGGCGTTGTATGGGTGCGAAACATGGACAGTGGACGCGGCGGAAAAGAAAAGGTTAGAAGCCTTCGAAATGTGGTGTTATAGGCGAATGATGAGGATAACGTGGGTAGAAAAGGTTAAAAATGAAGAGGTATTAGAAAGAATAGGAGAACAGAGGACTCTATGGAAGTCAATAAAAAATAGGCGAGATAGGTTGTTATGATACCTTCTCAGGCATGAAGGTCTAGTCAGAGACATATTAGAAGCAGAAGCAGGAGTTAGAAGGGGTAGAGATAGACCAAGGTTAGATTACTGTACGCAAATAGTTAAGGATGTGAGTTGTTCTAATTTTAGGAAAATGCTAGTTTAGCTCAGGATAGGAAAGAGTGGAGGTACGTGTCCAATCAGTCTTAAGACTGACGACCTTATGATGATGATGATCAGTTTACCTCCCCATTTGCTCTGCAATGCTCATAAACCTGTGTCCAAAAATACTCAGCTGAACAGCATCCTTCTCCGGTCCTATCTTCTTTATTTCTCCGCTACCAATTGTAATTTTGACATCCTTACGTTTTGTTATAAATGCCGTACAGAAGGGTTCCACAACTGTGGTACTTAATTTGTCCATAATAATAGCAGGTCCGTTAATGGTATGCCCTGGTAATAAATTCTCTAAGTGGTACACGTTTGTATTTTTGAAACCATCACTGAAATAAACCTGAGTCTGTTTCGTGATTCCTGGAGACCCTTTAACTTCCACTTCTTCTATTTCGATATTGAATCTCGTTTTGCCAACTCCTCTCATTCTAATATCGTCCACCAATATTGCCCTGTTATCAATTGTGAAGCCAAATTCCGTTCTATAACGTGTCAAGAAGCTCTCTAAAAAGTTTCCATATTTTGAAGTGTTTTTATTTGAAGCTGTACACATTAGAGCAAAGTCGGTTCCTTCATATCGCATATGTAAATACGGTTCTAATTCGATGTCGTCGTCAGAAAATCCTTGAGCTCTTAGTTCACTTCTACATTTTTCTCCTAAAGCGTCAAATCTTTCGTCGAAAAACGAGAAATTTCGGGATTCGTAGATTTTAGAAGATGGCTCCTGAGCTTCTTGAACTACATCTGCCAAAGCCATTCCATAAGCTGACAGAATACCTGAAATACAACGTCTTCTTAACCAATTCGAATTAAAAAAGATCTAAAAAATTCACAGCATTTCGAAAGGAAACGATTGTTGATTTAATTTAAATGTCTCGTACCGGCATACTTATGAATAAACACAAAAGGCATTCCCAACGACCTAGCAATAGCACATGCATGTTGCCCTCCTGCTCCTCCAAAGCATGCCAGAACATGTTGGGACGTGTCGTAACCTTTAGCTTGTGTTAATGCCCTTATTGGACGACACATTGCTTCGTTTGCAACGTCAATAAATCCCATTGCAACTTCAAAAAGAGTCATTTCTTTCTAAAATTCATACGTATTTTTTTTTAGTTATCAATCTAGCAACAATAGACAGTTTTTTTTTAAATTACCTTGTTGCCTTCTTGTTTTATGAATGCATTGACTTCGTCAGTTAATTTCTGAAATTCCTTTAATGTTGTATCTTTGTCAAGGGCTTCGTTTTCGTTAGGGCCAAAAATTTTGGGGAAATATTCCGGGAGAAGTCTGCCCAATACTAAATTAGCATCTGTTACAGTTAACGGGCCTTTCTTTTTGTAACAAACAGGACCTGGATGGGCTCCTGCAGACTCTGGGCCTACTACAAAAAGCCCTGACCTACAAGTATTTAATATTCTTCAAAAACAATTTACTGTTCACGTGGATCCACAAAAATGCCAAAATTTACAGCCAAAGAACGTTCCCTAACTTACATTTTAATGACCAAAAATAAAATTCAATCTCAAAACATAGCAATTTTCTTCAAACTTGACATTAGATGATCGGATTTGTTTTCAGATAACAGTTTTACGAAAATTTCGTATAATGTTTTATTAAGAAGAAGATTCGTTTACCTAAAGAATAACATTGAACCACCGCCCGCAGCAACGGTGTTAACATCTAGTTGTGGAGCTTGTATTGTTACCCCTGCTGTTGTACTTTCATACACGTGTTCAAATTGGCCAGCGAAACGGGATACATCTGTTGATGTTCCTCCCATATCGAAACCAATAACGGGTAAATCAAACTCCTTTTGCCATGTTGTAGCAGCGTACCTAATATTACACGACATTGTAACAAAATTTCATGCTTCTATTCTGTCCAAATGACTGAATTCAGTTTAAATAAAGATTGGTTGAATTCATACTATTGCCGAGTCAATAAGATGGAATTGATAATAGTTTTCAACGAATAACACAAATCTGTGAAACATTTTAAATTTTATGGTCAAATCGAATTTGTGAAACTGAGTAAAATAAAACACTACAACCCTAAATTCCACATAAAATATTTTTAAAATATGCGGTTTTAGAGTAATTGAGTGTCAAAAAGCGTATTTGGGTTTTTAAAACATTTTGGGCTATAATGTTTTATTTAATCGAATTATTTCCATCCAATTCCAATTGACTTTTTATAGATCTGTCTTAGGGTAATAAACACAGGGAAATTATATTCAAAAAGGGGGTAAAACGTTATTTATTTATTAAGAAAAAACAGTCAACGTTTCGACCTAGTTATTGGGCTTTCGCAAGGCTAGTTCTTTTAAGTAAATGAACTGAACTAGTCAAACTTTTTGAAGTGAAACTTCTTTACGCACGGTAGGGTAAGTTCGTTTCATGCGAGTTGCTATGTAACGAAATCATGCAACGGATGTCCCCGCTCTATTCGGCCACGTAGTCGAGTTCGTAGTGGGGATCGCTTGAGCCGTGAGCGCGCTTTAATTCAACGTTCGTTACAGGCAACTCCGGCATGTATAGTGTAAAATTTAAATTTATAGTGTACAAATAATACCATTAAACCAATTCCTTAACCCCTAATCCGGTATATTTGTGTGTTTGAAGAAGTTTCACTTCAGTAGCGTGTTACACGTTGTATTTTTGAAGTGAAACTTTTTACGCACGGTAGGGCATGTTCGTTTCATGCGAATTGCTATGTAACGAAATCATGCAACGCATTTTCCCCCGCTGTCTGTCCCTATATATGCTTAGATCTTTAAAACTACGCAATGGATTTTAATGCGGGTTTTTTTAATAGATAGAGTAATTCAAGAGGAAGGTTTATATGTATAATACATGCATAATATAATAGATAAACATTGATAATTTTAGAGGTTTGTAATGTGATGTCGTAAATAAACACATTTTTTGCGCTTACATTGCAAACGCTGGCTGAACCCTTCGTGATAGATCAAAATAATATACTACAGTATTGTACACCTTAAAAAGGTCTACAAAAAAGTCCGGGATGGTATATGTCTATTTCTTAGGGATAACCCACAATAACCACTTTTTATCCTTTACTTTTTAAGAGAAATAATGGCTTATTTACGAAGCGATTTTAAGCAATACAGCATTAATCCTTATCCAATTAAGTACTTTTAAATACATTGTACATTTAATATAGATCAATATGACCTTTTACAGCATGTAATTTAAATGGATATTTTTTTATAACGGTACTTGTTCATTGACCAAGTAAACTAATTTAGTCGTTGTATAAATAAAAATGGCGATGTTTATTTTATATCATCAATTAAATAAAATGATTAGACCAAGAAAATCTTTGTGCTAATAAGTGTACATAAAATGTATTAACTGCTAAAAACCTTAATGGCCTATTGTCTGTAAAACTTAAACCAGAGTTTTCTTTTCGTTAAAATATCTTATTTTACAATAACCAAACAACGATGTGATAACTACAACAATTATTACCCAACAACACCACCAGCAGGTCCCGAAAGAATAGCTTTTGCGCCATTAAATTTTTCCATGTCAGTTAGTCCACCATCGCTCTGCATGAATAAAACCGACGTTTCTTCTAAATTGTTTTTAAATCCGCTCACAAACCCCTTGAGATACCGTTTCACGTGTGGGGTTAAATATGCATCAGCCGAAGCAGTGAATCCCCTAGGAACAATACGGACCATAGGCATAACTTCGTGCGACAGAGAGACGTGAGTGAATCCTGAAAATGAAAAATCAACAAAAAATAATTTTATTTCGAAATCAAGACGGTAGAGCTTTCCGACCTAATTCATTAGCAATCTGACCCACTTCTAATTCGTGTTCAGTAAAACTGTAACTGTGAACAAATGCTACGGCGACACTCCTGATATTTTTTTCTTTTAATTTCTGCAATTTATTACGAACTTCTTCCTTGTCTAATTCATGAACAACATAAAACGTTCCTCCCGATTTCGTTCCCACCGAGCGCCACTTAGACGCTTTTTCTCCCAATTTGCACTTATCAGATAACACCGGAATTACCCTGCAATTTATTTCAACAACTTCAGAGTAAAGAACTTCGGGACGATTAATATCCTGAAACATTGAAGTTGTACTAGGCAAATGCTTAAAGTATATCAAACCAAAAGTCCTTACGAGTTCAAATATTTTCGGGCGAGCTTGATTTCCTATAAGCAAAATATCCCTGATACCGGCGTTAGTAACCAGGGCCATTTTCTCTCCTTTTCTTTCTAAAAGGGCATTTGTAGCAACTGTGGTTCCCATTCTTATCCAATCGATAACCGAACCATCAATTAACTCGTTTACTTTCAATTCAACTCCCGTTTCCTTTAATGAATTGTATAAATTCAATTAATTTAACAGTAGATATGTTTCCGGAAATGTATGAAATCTAGAAAATGTATACAATTCCTAGGAAATCTATATAATTCCGAGGCTATTTAGGAAATCTATAGAATATTATTTCAAAGATTTTTTAATACACACATATCCTGGGAAATGTATACATTTCCTAGGAATTNTCGAGAAACGTAGCTCGTATTTAACCTTACAAAAGGATTTTTATTTAAAGGAAACAGAAAAAAGTATATTACCGGAAATGTATGAAATCTAGAAAATGTATACAATTCCTAGGAAATCTATATAATTCCGAGGCTATTTAGGAAATCTATAGAATATTATTTCAAAGATTTTTTAATACACACATATCCTGGGAAATGTATACATTTCCTAGGAATTATATGAAATTCCAATATTTTACTAGCAAATGTGTGAAACTAATGCTTTATGTGAATAAAATGAATAATACGTTAGTAAACTGAGAATCAAAGTTATCTGTGTTTACGCGGTTCTAGTGCGATAGCCTGATATATATGCATTGGTGACGTTATGGTATGGTTATTAGGTAGTTTTTTGACAGATTGATGTTTCTTTAATGCCCCTGCCCCCTGTTTTCGAAAAGTATGCTTCATTATGGTCTCCGCGCCCAATACATCTACTTGAAAATGATCAACATTATCACCTCTACAATATACTAAAAATTCAAGGTCATCGTGTTTGCTGAAACAAAGATTACCTCGTCACATTATTCTAACATCTAACATATCAGCCTGCTTTCGGCGGGCAGGGGCATTAAAGAAACTCCAGTCTGTCATAAATCTCCCTAATAAAACAATGACGTCACCAATGGATACATTTAGTTACATCACCAACCAGCCTGCCGTATTATTGCCTGTTTGCTAGTATTACCTGTAATACATATGGGACTAATAATAATGATGTTAGCTTAGAATTCGAAAGAATTAAAAGTGTTTATTAAATAAAATGAAATACAAAATGAACATATCATAAGTTCGTACAAATTCGATCCTCTACAACCGCTGTCTTCGAGAACTGATTCAACTCTCCCCCGCAAGACTGACCGTAATGTTTTTGAGACCCTCGGTCAAGTATACCCTCTCTGTCTCTCTTTACCCCAACGTTGCACGTGTCAATTTTTGTCACTTTCTCACGGTACCTTCAGTCAGCTAATAAAACCGTACGGTTGGAGAGGACGCAGTAGTTTTCTTAAAGTTTATTGCTTAAAAATATTTTGCTTCTTATTCTAAACATACGGATAACAATTACTTAATCCCTTAAAATTACAAACTATTCCTAAATTACTTTAAGCCTACCATAAACTAAAAAGCACGCATTCCCGATACTACATT